GCATTATATTACCTTCAAGTTTTACAAGAAGCCCAAGATACATGATACAAAATTATCAAGATGAAATGGCAATTTGTAGAAGTTTGGGATATCCTGATCTATTCATCACTTTCACATCAAACGGAAAATGGCCTGAGATCAAATACATGCTCAACGAGATACCTGGTCAAAATGTTGAAAATCGACCTGACATTGAAGCACTAGTTTTCAAATTAAAGCTTCAACAGCTAATGAAAGACATCACAGAAAAGAAAGCATTTGGTACAGTTATTGGAGGTATGATCTAAGTTCACTCATATACCTCAATTTAATACCATATAGTATAAATGATTAATCAAAATTTATATTTTTTAACAATCATGTACATGATTGAGTTCCAAAAAAGAGGACGCCCGCATGCACATATACTACTTTGGTTGGATCCAAATAATAATATTACAAGCCCAAAAGACATAGACAAATTTGTCTCAACAGAAATACCATGCAAGGAAACAGATCAAGAAGCATATGCAGCTGTGTCACAATTTATGATGCATGGACCATGTGGAGTTGCAAACAAACGTTCTCCATGCATGGTGGATGGTTGTTGAAATAAAAGATTTCCAAAAAGATTTTATGACCAAACAACAATAGATGAAGAAGGATTCCCAATTTATCAAAGGAGGGATGATAACAGAATTGTTAAAAAAGGTGGCATCTTACTTGACAACAGGTATGTGGTTCTCAATAATAATGATTTATTATTAGAGTAATAAGCACATATAAAATTCAAAGTTTCAAATATCTTAAGCACTATAAATTTACTATCCAAGTATATGACTAACAATGATTCCATTTTATGTGAAACTAGGTATGTAGTTCCTTATAACAAATATTTGCTACTTAGATATCAAGCACATATAAACGTTGAAGTTTGTAATAAGTCAAAAGCTATAAAGTACCTGTTCAAGTATATAACTAAAGGCCCAGATAGAAGTACAATTGTGATAGAAGATAATGTCTTCATCAACAAGGACAAAATTACAGAAAATGAAGTTGTCAAAACAGCTCCAGTTGATGAAATCAAGCAATACTTGGACTGTCGATATGTCTCAGGATGTGAAGCTTGCTGGAGAATCTTCCACTTTGATATACATTATAGGAATCCGTCAGTCATGCGATTGTTTTTCAAAGATGATATTAAGAGATTCTCAAAGTCTAACCGAGGCCATCGAACAAGAAGGGGTCAAAGCCACTATGTTCACCAAATGGATGGAAATGAATGTAGAAAACAAGGAGGCTAGATCATTGACATATGCAGAATTCCCAACAAAATTTGTTTGGAATGGAAAAGAATGGACTAAAAGAAAGAGATGTCGAACAATTGGAAGAATTACATATGTACACCCTACATCTGGAGAAAGGTATTACTTGCGTATTCTATTAAATGTTGTTCGAGGACCTCGCACCTATGAAGACCTCGCACCTATGAGGAGCTCAAAAATGTGAATGGCACACAACACACAACATTCAAGCAGGCATGCTATGCTTTTGGATTAATTAGTGACGACAAAGAATGGAATCATGCAATTGATGAAGCGAGACACTAGGCGATTGGAACTCAACTAAGAGAATTGTTCATTACAATTCTACTTTTCTGTGAAGTAAATGACCCAATCCAATTTTGGGAAGTCAATTGGAAAACACTTTCAGAGGACATACCATTTAAATTGGTACATCAATTCAATTTCCCAAATTTGAAATTCACAAAAGACTAAATCAAGAACTAGTCTGTTGGAGCTTGAAAGAATGCTAAATCGTAGTGGTAAATCTGTAATATCCCCAAAATTTGGTGATATTTTAGCATTAAGTAAGGGACTTATTTGAGGAAAAATATTATTGAGGGGCTTAATAGCAAAATTTTCAAAAGTTGGGGGACTAAAAAGAAAGGAAATTAGGATAAGGATCAATTGCTTTTCTTTTTCTTTTTTCTTTCTTTCTTTCCTTCCCCATCAGACCCGTGTGCCCTGCTCTTCCTCTTCCCTAACCCTCTGCAACTTGACGAGCCCAAGCCACCGCCACCCATCTCCGGCCGGGAACACCGGCAAAGCTTGGGGATTTCTCCCTATTTTCTTGTTCTTGAACCCAGAAATTCCCCCCCCCTTCTACTGGAAATTCCAGATCTGCTTTGCTCTGTCTTCCTCGCCGGCTGCTCTTGCTTGTGGGTGTGATTTTCGATCTTTCTTGGTAAGAAGCAGCCATGAATTCACCTCTTTAGCTTTGAATTGCCTTGGATTTACCGTAATTACTCTCGGTTCCTTCAATTTTTGCAAGCCCCGTGAATTGTCCCTGCAGATTGCCGCCGGCTTCTACCCCTTACTAGGCCCAATTTTGCAGCTGCTAAATTCTGGTATGATGGCCACTTCTTTAAGCCCTAAATTACCCATTTAATTGCTGGGTTTTGTCCATTTAGTTAATGCTTTGTGTTGTCAGAAAATTTGTGGAAATAAGAAGAAATTTGGCAGCCATTTAAGTATGTAATTTTAGCTTTAATTCACGTAGAAATGGCTTGATTTGCTGCTGTGAATTTTCTGGAGAGAAAATCCCGCGTGTGTGAGTTGTGGGTTACCTAGGGCCATGCTCTCCATGTGCTGCCTGTGAGATTGGGGAAATTTTGGTAGCTTTAAGCTATGTTTTTAAGTGTGGTTTAAGTGTAAATTAACTTGAAGTGGGTTGTTGTGATTTTGGAGAGAAATCCCGTGAATTAGCTATGTTTTGCCAATTTTGGAAGTTGAAGTTACTGTTTACGGTACTGTTTACGGTACTGTTCATAGGTACTGTTCGCACACCGAGGGTTAACAATTAACGGGGATTTAAATGTTTAGTTTGTAATATAAGAACAAATTTGGAGATGTTCGATTATGTGAAGATTGATAGAAATAGCACCGTGATTAGGGGTAGTGCTAATGATGATTTCACTTTGAAATTGTGGTAGTGAGGTATTAATTCTTGGATATTTTGATTAGGTTCCTGATCGTTCTATCAGTTAGCACTGAGATCGAGTCTTTGGTTTTATGAGAGTGAGGTAAGTAAATTATGGTAAAGTCCTTCAATTTCAAAGCATGTTTTAAATTGTTTTTGAGATGGTGACGATGTTTAAATTGATTTTATCAGCATCTGAGTGTGATTAAACTGAAATGAAAATTGTGATGCTTTTTATGAAAATCATTGTTTTTCTGGAATTGAGCATGATTGGAATGAAAATGGGAATTTCATTGTTTTTCTGGAATTGAGCATGATTGAAATGAAAATGAGAATTTCATTGTTTTTCTGAAATTGAGCATGATTGGAATGAAAATGAGAATTTCATTGTTTTTCTGGAGTTGAGCATGCCCACATGAAGTTTTTCGGTTTATTTCTGAAATTGGAGATTTGATTGTGAACTACGGATTTTGATTGTGAATTTCAAGTTTTTCTGTAAATCCTGCATGGTTTTGTCTTTAATATGGTCATGTTTACTGTGCCCGCTAGTGGGAGGTTTATAAACGCTAGCACATGTCTACATGTTTACTGATATGACCGGTTCATTCTGTAATCTTGCCAATGGGATAATACATTGGTAATTACTGACGCCTACCAGTGGGAGTTTGTTAAACACTGGTACCATTACTGATGCTTGCCAGTGGGAGTTGTTAAACACTGGTACTTCTGTAACCCTGCCAATGGGGTTAAACATTGGTTATTACTGACGCCTGCCAGTGGGAGTTGTTAAACACTGGTACTATTATTGTGCCCGTCAGTGGGAGGTTTATAAACGCTGGCCATGACCTATAGATGAGGCAACTACTAAAATTTTCTTCTACATTAACGGTTTGTCATTGAACACTTTGTTATTGAACTGAACCGGATTTTGCATTAACGGGTTGTTATTGAACGTGTTGCTATTGAACTGAATTTGATTTTGATTCTGCATTAACGGTTTATCACTAAATGTTTTGTTATGTTACATGGTTTATCTGGCATGCTTAAACATTTTACCAAGGGCTATCCATATTTTTACTTACTGAGATATTTTATCTCATAGTTTTCCTTGTCCACCATTTCAGGAAGTGAAACCGAGGACAGGAAAGCCACGGGGAGTAACGAGTTAGAAGGCTAGCCATTTTGTAAAGTGAATATAGATTTGAGATATAGATCATGATCTTGTAAACTAAAGTTTAATCGGAGATTTTATACATTCATTTAATGGATTGTTAGTTTACAAAAGATTTGACCCTGAGATTTTGAATTTAAGTCATGTTGGATATAGAATTAATTTTGAAATATCCGATCTAAGTTATTGGATTGTCAGACATGAATTGGATAAGTTTCGAGTCTTGTGCATTCGTGGGACTCGTTCACGAGTGCACGGCGTCTGTCACGTCCTCGGATTTGGGTTCGAGGGCGTGACAAAATCATTGTTCAATTGTAATGGCATGCCATTACCAAACATGAATCTTTTATTTGGAGCAGATAATAGGCTGATCAAAGAAGAGCTCAATTACAACATTAGGAAGATGAAAGCAGATCATGATAACTTTTACATCTCATTAAATAACCAGCAGAGAGAGATATACCACAGAATACTTGATGCAGTGGAGCAAAAGGAAGGAGGCATCTTCTTTGTTTATGGACATGGAGGAACAGGAAAGACATTTTTGTACAAAACAATACTATCAAGACTGAGATCTGAGAGAAAAATAGCTTTGGCCGTGGCTTCGTCAGGTTTGGACAAAATATTAAATTATTTTCTTCAATTTTATTTAAGTATTACTTTAACTTATACATATGTCAAAATGCCATTTAGGTGTCGCATCACTATTGTTACTTGGAGGCAAAACAGCACAGCCGATTTGACATCCCCTTTGAGCTATTTCAAAATAGTACATGTGGCATAAGACAAAATACAAATTTATCTCAATTATTATTGCAGACATCTTTGATAATATGGGATAAAGCTCCAATGATGCAAAGGTATGCCTTTGAGGCAGTTGATAAAACATTAAGAGATATAATAAGATTCAAAGATAAGGCTGCAAGAAACAAACCTTTTGGAGGCAAAATTGTGGTTTTGGGAGGAGACTTTAGGCAAATACTACCAGTTATACCAAAAGGCAAGAGACAAGAAATTGTTGATGCATGCATAAACAGGTCCTATCTTTGGAAAAGTTGTGAAGTTTTTGTTTTGGAAAAAAACATGCGAGTATCTGAAACAAATGCAGAAGGATTACCTGATGTAGCCAACAAACAGTTTAATAAATGGTTGCTGGACATTGGAGATGGGAAGATACAAGCGATTGCAAAAGAAGGTGAGGAGCATGCAACTTGGATAAAAATACCAGACGAATTTTTAATAGCTAGGGCAGAAAATCCAATACAGCAAATCATCTCCAACACTTATCCAAATTTTGACAACATGCATGATGACCAAAACTACTTAACTGAGAGAGCCATTCTCACTCTATCACGCCTCAAAACCCAAAATTCGAGGACGTGACAAACGCCGTGTACTCGTGAGAGGGTCCCACAAATGCACAAGGCTCGAAACTTATTATATCACAATCTGATACCATCAAAATCTGAAGATCAAATTTTATAATTCGCTCTAATATCATAAAATCTCCAATTAAAATCTCCAAGTACAAGATCATGATCTATTTCTAAAATCTAAATCAATCTCGAAATGGCTAGCTTTCTAACTCATCACTTCCTGTGGTTTCCCCTCCTCGGTTTCGCTTCCTGAAATGGTGGACAAGGAAAACTATGAGATAACTCAGTAAGTTAAATATGGAGTGCCCTTTATTACACATATAGCATACCAACTAGTATAATCACAAAAAACGGGAATGAGTACGGAAATAAAATAGACGTCTCCTCTATAAGTCACGGCCAGTGTCATAAACCTCCCACTGACAGGCACACAATTTACTAGTGTATAATCCCACTAGTAGAATAACAAAAACGAATCAGTTTTATCAGTAACATGTCGACATGTGCTAGCGTTTATAAACCTCCCACTAGCAGGCACACGAATCACATGACCATATCGGAGACAAAACAGGCAGAAGTTAACTGAAAAATCGCAATTCACCAATCACTTTCAAATCATCAGGACAAATCAATCAAATTTCAAGTAGGCATGCTCAATTTAATGAAAAGTATAAAAATTTCACTTCAAATCAATCATACTTGTGTAAAACGGGTTTAGTCCCGCCATCACTTTAAAAACAAATCAAAACATGCTTTTAAAAACTATACGGGCATTACCATAAATTTACTTACCTCACTCGCATAAAACCGAGCACTCAATCTCAGTGCTAACTGATAGAACGATCAGGAACCTAATCAAAATACCCAAGAATCAATACCGTACTATCACAAATTCAAACTGAAATCATCATTAAGACTATCCTTAATCACGATGCTATTCCTATCAATCTCCACATAATCGAACATCTCCAAATTTATTCTTATATTACAAACTAAACATTTAAATCCCCGTTAATTGTTGGCCATCGGTGTGTGAACAGTACCCTATGCACAGTAACTGCACTTCCAAAAATTGGCCAAAACACTAGCTAATTCACGGGATTTTCTCCAAAAATCACACAACAATCAATTAACACTCAATCACATAAATCCCACTTGAATTAATGCTTAAACTTTGTCCTAAAGCTACCGGAATTCATCCCCAATTTTCAGCCAAATTCGGACAACAATAGGGGTAGCCAATCCATGGACAAAATTCAACAATTAAAGGGGTAAATTAGGACTTAGAGAAGCTGCCACATACCATAAATCCAGCAAGCAAAACCGGAGTGCAGATTGGGGAGGAGGTCGGCGGCAAGTGTAGGGGACTCATGGGGCTACCCAAAATTAAAGGAACCAAGAGCAATTAAGGTAAACCCAAGGCAATTCAAAGAAGAACAGAGGGATTGGTAGCTGTTTCTTACCCAAAACCGAAGCAAATCACCCCCACAAAGCAGGAGCAGCCGGCGGAAGGACAGAGCAAAGCAGAGCAGATCCGGATTTTGCAGAGGGGTGGGGGAAATTTCTGGGTTCTACATGTGTTCTAGAGCTAGAAAAGAAGGAGAAATCAAGCTTTCTCGCCGGTTTTTCAGCCTGAAATGGGTGGCGGCAGCTTGGGGGCTTTGGGAGCTGCAACAGGAAGAAAGAAGAAGAAGAGCAGAATCGGGCAAGGCTGGGAAGAAAAGAAAGAAAGAAAAAAGAAAAAGAAAAGAAATTGATCCTTATCCAATTATTTTCCCTCTTTAAGTCCCTGAAGTTCCAGAACTTTCACTATTAGGCCCCAAAATAATTATTTCTCACACATAAACCCTTAGTTAAATGATAAAATTTCCCAAAATTTTGGGATATTACACACTCCATTGAATGAGACTACTGACACAATCGATGATTACATGTTCTCTTTGTTTGAAGCAGAAACCAAAACTTACAAAAGTTCAGATGAGATTTGTAAGGCCTCCTCAGACACAGCCGATCAGTATATGATGTACCCAACAGAGTTTTTAAACACATTGACATTTCCAGGAATGCGAAGTCATTGCCTAAAGTTGAAGAAAGGAATGCCAGCTATGTTATTGAGAAATGTCAACCCAAGTTTAGGGTTGTGTAATGGCACCAGGATAAAAATAACACAGTTGGGAGAATGGGTTATTGAAGGCAAGATCATGACAGGAACAAGATTGGCGAGAAGGTTTTAATACCAAGAATTACAACGACTTCACAGCAATCAAAGTGGCCATTCATATTGAAGAGAAGACAATTTCCTTTAAGGCCGTGTTACGCAATGACCGTTAATAAGAGTCAAGGGCAGTCCCTAAATCATGTTGGCCTATATCTACCAAATCCTGTTTTCAGCCATGGCCAATTATATGTAGCTGCATCTAGAGTGACATCTCCAACTAGTCTAAAGATTCTCATTGGCCATGACGAACAAGACCATGAAAGCTACACAAAAAATATTGTTTATTACGAAGCTTTTAATGATCTCCCACAAGTAACTATTGAATAATAGAAAGCTCTTAGAGCCTGACCACAAGTCACCATTGAATAATAGCTTTATTTCATTTCTTCTTCGTTATATCATTGATATTTCATAAATATAGTCTACCAAATAAAAACAAATAAAGATAAATGAAAAAAAAATAAAACCACACCCGTGCAACGCACGGGCAAAAAAAACTAGTTATCCAAAATAATTTCAAACTCAGTCTTAATCACTTAATTAGAATCTTTTAATTACAAAATTATTATAAAATTTAATATTTCATAAAAAAATATTATAAAATTCAAGCTCTAATACAAAGAATTAATGAATAACTCATGCATCACAGGGGCAAAAAAAAAAAAAAAACTAGTTGATTAGTATAAAATGATAAAAAAGAAGAAAATTTAGCTTTTAATATTTTTTATTTTACTAAACATACTAATTGTTAATCAAAATATTATTTTTTTCATTTTCTACAGCTTTATTCTGGCGCATTTTTAATTTGTTCAATCCCATGGTATTATATTTAGAAAATCTTTAATATTTTAAATGTCATGACACCCAGATTTTCACTTAACAATGAGACCCACAGCATGACAAAGGATTTCTAAACTTCAGGAAAGCTAAATCAGGTTTATAATAGGACCTTGACCCGTTGTTTATGTTGCAACAAGAACCAAAGGTAAAAACCTTGACCCGTTGTCTACAATGCAACAAGAACCAAAGGTATAAAGTTGGTTGATGCCACACCCTTGAATGATTAAGAACGAGAATGATAAGTTAGGTTAGAACGCCACAAGAATAATCTTGATAAGTTCTATAAAGTTCTGAAACAAACCAAAGAGAAAAGTCTCTCAAAATCTTAGATTCAATAGCTGCCCCCAACTAGGGTTACAAGCCCTTTAAATAGGGAAAAATAATTCTGATTAGAATAGGAAACTAACACCTTAAGCCCTAATCATAATAACCATGAATTGGGCCTCAAATAAATGAATGTTTAGCCCAAAATAATAAAAAAAAACATGAAAATACTAAAAGTAACCTAAAGTAACATGAAATATCAATTTGTTACAAATTGCGACAGAATTGCGGGATTTTGATGCAAACTGTGTAATTTAGCATAAATGACCTTAATTAAGCTTCTCTTGAACCTAAATGATGTTCATCATGCTTTGATAATCATCCAAGCTATTTGCTTGTTGCATGTTGTTATCAATCCAGATCTGCTCAATAAGGCCATTTAAAGCTTCTCGCATTTTCCTAGCTCTAGCTCTCATGACTGGACCTCCTGAAATGTGTAATGGATCTCTTGATGTGGTACATGTAGGGTCATCTTGATTCCCATCGTCACTTTTCTGTTAATCATTAATGAAATGAGTTAATCATTAATGGAAGTCTCATATTTTTTCTTATGGTGTTCATTCACTGTTCACTTAATACTAATTTTTTTGCTAAAAAACTTCTCTATTTTGGGCATAATAACTATTCATAATATTTCATTAAATCTATTATCAAGTTAGCCATGCTTACAAAGGTAAATACTTAATTTTTTTTCTCTTGATTATTTTTATATGATTTTTATATTTCCTAAAATTTTTTAAAAATTTCCTCTTCTTTTGTAAATAATTATTTAGAGGACATTAACTAAATAAATAATGGTCACAAATAAAATATAAATTAATTCAAGTTTATTTTTTTGAAAAATACTGATTAGCCCTAACTATAAAGTATACCATTCCTTTCCATAATCTCATCATCTATTTTTATTATCAAATTAAATTCCATTCATTAGTTAGGCTATAGTTTGCATTCTTTTTCTCATGGCCAAATAAATTATAATTTACATCAAACTAATCTTTTCACCTAATTATTCTTAATATCCATGAATTAGTGTTTAGTATTCTTAAGTATTCACTTTTTTTTTAAGTATGCTTAGTATGCTTACTATTCTATGAATTATATTTTTTTCATTTCTTAATCTGCATCTCTTTCTTTTTCTTTTCTATGGTTTAATATACATATAACAAAAAATAATAATAAATATATTGGCTTAACATACATCAAATAATTGGATAAAAATGCATGTTACTCACATTTAATAGAGGGATTGCAAGGATAGCTTTAGAGATTATTTTAGTACATATTTATGCATTAATTTTAATTATTGTTGTTGTTGTTATTTAATATTATTATTAAATATTAATTTCAAAATATGTGTTAGAAAAAGGGAAATAAAGCATATATATGTAAACCACAGTAAGAAAAGCATCAAACTTTATTTGATTGGTATTGACATTTATAAAAATCAATAAACTAATATACTTATCCCTCAAATTCCTCATATCTCCAATATATTCATTAAAAGGGTGCATCCTTATCATCCCATTCTATTGGATCTTGTCTCCTCATCATCACATTATTTTTGTAAGCCTTCAAATGAAAAAATTATTATTTTTTCAAAAAAAATATTTTTAATAAAGTAAAAAAATTCTATATGAAATAAAATTAAACAAAAGTCATACAAAAGTCTTCTTCTCTTTGTCAAGCTCTTTTTAGATTTCACCTATACACATTTTTTCAAACTACAAAAGTAAATGAAAGTGCATAAGGTGAAAAAATTAAAAACGATAAAAATAAATAATGAGTAAAAGTGTTGTAAATGATTATGAATGAAATTGTAATCTTATGTTCTTATTCTCCATACAAATTAGGTATTTATTTATCTTCCTTTGGTTTAATTCATTACATATGTAATAAAAACTAATAACAATAAAATAACTGAGAATATTTAAAAAAAGAAGTCAAAGAAGAAAAGATGAGAAGATAAAAAGGTAAAACTAATATTATTAATATGCATATTTATTACATTTTATTGTAAAAATACTCTATGTTCCTTTTATTTTTAACAAATATATTTTTTATAATTTAAATAAAAATAATAAATTGTAGTGCCTATTTAATTGATGAGAACCTCAAAGAGAACAATGAGATACACAGCATGACAAGGGATTTCTAAACTCCAGGAAAGCTAAATCAGGTTTATAATAGGACCTTGACCCGTTGTTTATGTCGCAACAAGAACCAAAGGTAAAAAAACCTTGACCTGTTGTCTATGACACAACAAGAACCAGAGGTATAAAGTTGGTTGACGCCACACCCTCGAACGATTAAGAATGAGAATGATAAGTCAGGTTAGAACGCCACAAGAATAATCTTGATAAGTTCTGTAAAGTTCTGAAACGAACCAAAGAGAAAAGTCTCTCAAAAACTCAGATTCAATAGCCTTCTCCCCATTAGGGTTACAAGCCTTTTAAATAGAGAAAACAAATCCTAATCAAAATAGGAAACTAACACCCTAAGTCCTAAACCTAATAACCACGAATTGGGCTTCAAATAAGCGAATGTTCAGCCCAAAAATAATACAAAAAACATGAAAATCACTAAAAATAACCTAAAATAACACAAAATATCAGTTTGTTACAAAATTGCAGCAGAATTGTGCGATTTTGACGCAAACTGTGTAATTCCATGCAAATGACCTCAACTAAACTTCTCTTGAACCTGAATGACGTTTATCATGCCTTGATAATCATCCAGGCTTTGATTTGCTTGTTGTATGTTGTTTTCAACCCAGATCTGCTCAATAAGGCCATTTAAAGCTTCACACATCTTCTTAGCTCTAGCTCGCGTGACTAGACCTTCTTGGGTGTGTAATGGATCACATGACGTAGTAGATATGCTGTCATCTTGATTCCCATCATTCCCTCTCTCCTCAAAAGGATTTGTCCTCAAATTGTCACTTACATCAAAAGGAGAAAGATGAGAAACATTAAAAGTAGCACTAACATTATACTCACCAAGAAGCTCCAACTTGTATGCGTTGTCATTAATCCTCACAATCACTTAAAATGGTCCATCGCCTCTTGGTTGCAGCTTAGAATGCCTTTGTGCAGGGAATCGCTCCTTGCGCATATGCACCCAAACCCAATCTCCAGGTTCAAATACAACTTTCTTGCATCCTTTGTTGGCTTGTTTTGCATATTGCTCAGTTTGTCGCTCTATGTTTTGTCGCACCTTCTCATGCAGTTGCTTAACCACTTCAGCTTTCTTTTTCCCATCCAAACAAGCTTGTTCGTCAATAGGTAAAGGCAATAAATCTAAAGGAGTGAGTGGATTAAAACCATATACAACTTCAAATGGCAAACAGTTAGTTGCTGAATGGACGCTCCGATTATAAGCAAATTCAATGTGCAGCAAATACTCTTCCCAGTTCCTCAAGTTCTTCTGAATAATAGAACGCAATAAGGTTGACAACGTCCTATTAACCACTTCTGTTTATCCATCAGCTGAAACAAAATACCCTAAAAAGACAATCTGATTTGTGCGAAAGGAATACTTTTTTAAGGTTAGCAAACAACTTTTCTTTTCTCAGAACCTCAAGTACCATTTGCAAATGCTCAATATGATTAGTTTAAACTCTTACAATATACCAGAATGTCATCAAAATAACCAACCAAAAATTTGCCAATGAAAGCACGCAAAACATGATTCATTAATCGCATGAATGTACTAGGTGCATTAGTTAATCCAAATGGCATAACTAACCACTCATATAAACCATGTTTCATTTTAAAGGCTGTTTTCCATTCATCACCTTCCTTCATCCTAATTTGATGATATCCACTCTTTAAATCAATTTTAGAGAATATGCACAAACCATGCAACTCATCTAACATGTCATCTAATCTAGGAATAGGGTGACGATACTTTACAGTGATTTTGTTGACCACGTGACAATCAATGCACATATGCCAAGTCCCATCCTTCTTGCACAAGTAGCACTGGAACTGCACATGGACTCATGCTTTCTCACATGTCCCTTTTTCATGAGTTCTTTGACCTGCCTTTGAAGTTCTTTCGTCTCATTGGGATTGCTTCGATATGCTAGTCGATTTGGAATTGTTGCACCAGGAATGAAGTCAATTTGATGCTCGATTCCTCTTATTGGTGGTAAACCATTAGGAACGTCATCTGGAAACACTTCCTTGAAGTCCTGCAAAAGAGATTTAATAGCACTAGGCAAAGAATCATTAAGTTCGTTAGTGTTGAAATAAGCATCTTTATACAGAAGCACAAACATAGGCTGCTTTGCAAAGAACACAGCCTTGACATCACTTTCTTTTGCATAAACACTCACTGATTTTCTCTCTTTGTTTTCAACACTCTCGATCTTTTCTCTCTTTTTTAACTCTTTCTCTGCTGTTTTGTCTCTGTTTTTCATACCCTCAATGATGGGAATCAAGACAACAACATATCTACTACGTCATGTGATCCGTTACACAGCCAAGGAGGTCCAGTCACGCAAGCTAGGGCTAAGAAGATGCGTGAAGCTTTAAATGGCCTTATTGAGCAGATCTGGGTTGAAA